GAATTCCAAATTGTCGCCTCCATCGAATCCAAGTCTTCTCTGATGGATATTGAAGCCTCTCTGGGAGTGAGTTTACTGGGTGGAATGGTTGAAGTTGGGGGGTCTGCCAAGTATCTCACTGATATGAAAAAACACCAGAATCAGAGCAGAGTTACACTCAAGTTCAAAGCTACCACAACTTATATACAATTCACAGCTACTCCTGGAACTGTGACGGTGCAACAAACAGCCGTTACAGACAAGGGCTTGGCAACACATGTAGTCACAGGCGTCCTTTATTGAACAAATGCTCTCTTTTTGTTTGACAGCAAAAAGTTAGAGGATAGCAACCTTCAGGACATCAAGGGCAAAAAGGAAGCCGTGATAAAGAAGATTCCAACTATTAGCATTGAGGGGTCGGGTTCTGTGAAGCTCACTGAAAAATCCCTGACCAGCAAACTTTCCTGCAAGTTTCATGGGGACTTCCTTCTTGAAAGCCTCCCCACAACTTTTGAAGATGCAGTGGAAACCTACCAGAAACTTCCAGACCTTCTTGGAGAAGAGGGAGCGGAAGCGGTTCCAATGAAGGTCTGGTTGGTGCCCTTGAATAAATTTTATTCTAAAGCTGAGCAGCTGCTCTGTAAGATCACAGTTGGTTAAATGAGAAAGCTTCAAAGCACCCTGGAAGACTTATATCAGATACTTACACTTAGATCAAGGGTTAGATTGAGAGGTCCTTGCTGCTGATGTAAAGCATGCTCTGTGCTTTGTCTTCACCTTCCTGCGGCGCAGTGATATCTACCTTAAAGTGCTGTCCAACTTTTTGGAATCACCTGGTCCATACTGCACTAATGATTTTGGGCCATCTACCGAAGACCTGTGGTGCTACTCAACTCGAGTGGTAATCAACATGAAGAAAAAAGCCCAAACCTTTAGTGAGCTGGCCAACAACATGAAGGACAGCAGGAATGTCCGCTTCCTTGTGGCAGGCATAGCAAATGAGAAACACCAAGGAGCAAGCACCTACTATTACAAGGAGGGCAGTCTGACCAGTGAGGTCTTTACATTTCACCAAAGACAGAAGAGACTTACTCTGATGTAAGTAATTGTTTCTGCATTGATTCATATTAATTTCCCCCATTTTATTTGGAAACATACCACAGGCTCCTAGTTTCTGTTTGTTTCATCATCTCTCCACCCTCAGACTTTCTCTACCCTTTGCCACCAGATCCTGCTCCTACCTGTTCCTCATTACCTCACATTACCAGATTGTCAAACTTGTGTTACTGCCATTGCATTGCAGGCTTTTCCTGCCTATAGCCTGTTCCCTGTTCTTGTCCCTGTTCCCTGAAATTCTTACCTACCTCCCTTGTCTAGATTTTCCTGCCTGTTTGAACTCACCTCAGTTCAGGACGGAAATTCAGCCTGTAAACAAATGCTGAAGGGTAAGGCAGGTAGGCAGTTTGAGGGCATCTGCTGGAGAGATTGGAAACAACAGGGTCCACAAGAAATGTTTGGACTAAGGGAAGAGGGTGATGGGTGATAAAAGACATGTTTTTATCATTCCTGTCTTGTAAGTCCAGACAAATCTTATATGAAAAGTGTGAACTTGTCTTCATCAGATCAATTTATTAAAATCCTAGCGTTCCAATTCAAATGATTAGTAATGACTGGTAACTGGTCCTGTCTTGTTCTCTCCATCAGACGACTGTGACCTCACCTTTGACCCAAACACAGTGAACTACATGCTCACCCTGTCTGCGAGGCAGCGATCGTAATCACCCTTAGAGGTTTGACTGCTCTCAGCAGGTGCTGTGCAAAGAGGGCCTGACCAGGCGCCATTACTGGGAGGTGGAATGGACCGGATACGTTCATGCAGGTGTCTCGTACATAGTGATCGGCAGGAAAGGAACAGGCTCTGTGTGTGCTGTTGGACAGAACAGGTTCTCCTAGGCTTCAGACCATATTCCCAGCAGTGGACACAGAGTCAGGCATAATCAAGAAACCAATAATGTCACTGTGTTGTCTTCAGGCTTTAAGCGACTGGGAGTGTTTCTCCATTGGTGCGCCAGCACTCTGTCCTACTTCACGGTCTCTAATGACCTGCGTAACATTTACACCTTCCATGCCAGATTCACAGAGCCTGTTTATCCAGCCTTTTGTCTCGGGGCCAACTTTGACCATGGACAGGTTAGATTACTTTAAAACACAGTCACAGTTACTAACATTAGAAAGCTCTCAGTACATACTGTAGTGCATCCACCAAGGCTGCACAATTATCTAAACTTGTTATTTTGAGATTTGAGTCGGAGAACTAGGAATCTGTTTTTTTCAAAAATAAATATCTATGTATAATATAAAAGATATTTTAAGTAAAAGTAACTCCTCAAAGACTCTTTTGTCCATCTGGTAAAAAACACACTTGACCACTGCATAAAAAAAGGAGTTTAACCCTTTTTATCAACAGATTCCATTTCTTATGAGAGGGCAAACTGTGGCTGATGATTCATTCCAGGATGATCCAACTGTATAGTTTAACAAAAATCTGCCAAAAGTTAGTGGGGTAAAAATACACAGGAATACTAAATGACATAATCCAATTGATTACTAGAACTGGAAAAGTACATTTCATTTTGATTACTGATTATTCCTACAACCACATATTCCTCACTTTATGCTAAATCCATGTCAAAAGTCCAAAGTCTAAAATGCTTTTTTTCAGTGTGTATGTTTTTAAATGCAAAATTGATTTATGCCGTCAGATAAAGTTTAGGCCGTTTTAACAGTACAGTGCATATTCTAGAAAGTGTTTAAAATGTAAAAAAAAAAAAAAATTGAACCACGACTCAGTGTGATTATACTTCAAACATCAAACCTACATTTGAATTCCAGCTGTTTAAAGTGACACTGTTATTGATCCATGTTAACATTATTATTCTGTAGATGCTGATTATGTGCACAGTTTGTGCATAAACACAGAAAAACAAAGCCCCATGGAAATAAATGTTTTACATATATGTATTTATTATTGTAATACTGAAGAATGTTATTTAGAGTTTGCTTTGATACGGTTTAATATCGATATCAAATTACTGCATTTTAAACAATTAAACCATCATTCCTTCTCTTTTAAACTGCCACCATGAAATGTGGGGTCTGTGTTTGTCAGTGTGTATTTACATTTGCCATCTGCATACAGCATAAATCTATTGATATCTATTAATTACAAAAAAACTGGCTTAATTTGAACTGATGTAACTTCTTTTTTTTTCACTGCATTTCTTTTTAAACAAGTATCATATACCACTCAGGAAACCTATTCTTCTGCAAGGAGCTGGGGAAAATCAAATTTATTTACTCAGTATGGTGATATCATGATGACTTTCGCTGTGGTTCAGCTTCTATTGTGACACATATTGGATCCTTTTCTTCTCTCCTTGAGTCAAGATTTTAATAAAGTGGAGATTTGAGTTGAACATTTTGTGGCATGTACTTATTTGTGACCAGAGATTTGTTTAAACAAAAGATGACATATAATAAGAATGATAATTACACAACTTTATAGGGTAGAAAAACAACAGTATTAGTTGTACTGCTCTGATATCATGTCATTGGCAGCTGTACAATTAATATTTTCAGGTCTAATTATCAACATGTCTGTTAGGGTGATAAACCAAAATAAATCTGAATATAACCAAGGGTTCCCATGTAACAATGAGAAGTCTAATATAATACCATCTTCAGTCATAACCACCCTTGAGTCATCATGATGTTCATGTTAACTAATGTTATAAGCGCTGCAGCATTTTATTTAATTTATTTGATCAGTTCAATGTACAAGTTAATGTTCCGAGGAGAGAGTCAGTGCTTTGAAAAAAATTGAAATATTTCAGATTTCTAACACACTGGAACACCTGTTGGACATGTTTGCTCTCTCTGAAGAAAGTGAACTACTGAGTAATATTCAGTAAAATATTATGTATAATTCATTTACTTATGAATGCTTATTTACAGTAAGTGTATAAATCTATTCTTTTCCATTCATTCATTCAAGATTAATTCTAGTAGAAAATAACAAAACTGTCCAGTGATACCTCAATACATTTATTGAATATTCTGGTCAAGAAGAGAGAAAACATGTCCAAAAATATACAGTGGGAGAGGTTCAGCTCTATAAAGATCAGCTACATTCTCAACAGAGAAAAAGACAAAATAGAACAGGGATCAATCATAACTTCATCAATAAATGTGTAGAATGTAGACATGTAGATGATGTTAATTATATATATCTAAGTATATTTACTTTCTTTTTGTCATTTGTCACTGTCATGTCCACATGACGGCACAAGTTAAAGAAATGAAAAATTAAAGCAGCAATTGCAGCTTAAAACCAATAACAGGCCTAGTTTATCAGATGTAGCCAAATTACAAAATTACAAAATACAACATTCAAAATACAAAAATTAACACGACAAATAGAAATAAAAATGAAAGGGGCGTTGAGTAGCTCAGTTGGATGAGCATCCGCCCCATGTGTAGAGGCTACAGTCCTCGCTGCAGATGGCCCCGGTTCGAGTCCCGCATCGAACAAGCCCTTACCTGCACGTCATTCCCCCTCTCTCTACCTCCCCATTTCCTGTGTCTCTCTACTGCACTATCAATAAAGGCACAAAAAGCCCAAAAAAAAGAAATTAAAAAAAAAAAGAAATGAAAAATGAAATAAAAGTATAAGGAACCACTACCCCAACATTAATACCGCAAAGACTTAAATGCAGTGATTCAAATCTAAATTTAAGATGCTAAATGCTAAAAAAGAGATGCTAAATCCATGTTATGTGTGATACAATGAAATGTTATGTTGTTGTTATTTTAGTTGATTGAATCTGTATATTTGAGCAAAAACTGGAAAAGCATATTAAAATCTAGCATTAAGTGAAAATACTTCTCTGGTTCAATTTCAGAGGCTTTCATTTTGTGCTGCTGTACTGCAACACTGTGCAGCGTGTGTGCTCTTACTGCTCTTATACAAAAGGACTCAGGTAAACAAAGTTGGAGTTCACCCAAATCCAGACAGCCGGATAAACGGCCTCAGTGAATCTGGTTTTGAAGGTGTAGAGGTGACTTAATCTGTTAGAAGAGACTCTGTAGAAGGACAAAGTCCCAGCATTCCAGTCGAGATACACTCCGACTTTCCTGCAGTCACCCTGGGTAAGAGGGCCGCAGTACTCTTTAGCATTATGCCAGGCATAAAGCCCGTACCTGTGGCCAAAATACCAGGATACGTTATTATGTCCAAGCCTGCTCGCTGGACCCCCTCCTTTCCTGCCAATTCTGTCATATGCAACAGCTACACCGACCTCATCGTTGTCCCCAATACTCCACTCTACCTCCCAGTAATGGCGCCCCTTTAACGCCTCTGTGCACAACACCTGACAGTGTTTATCAAACCTGCATGGATCATCAGGATACTGCTGCCAATCTGCACATGTTGCCATTTTGTTTCCCTCAGACAGAATGAGGTAGTTGTTTGCAGTTTTAGGGTTCAGGGTGAGATCATAGGCATCTGATGGAGAGACCAAAGTACAACCTGTTACTTGTCTTCCTCATCATAACACCACACATGACTAGAAGTGAAACAAATGTATAAAAAATGACTTACACCAGAGAAGATGTCTTCTGTTTTTCACAGCCTTCACATCAGGGATGTCAGGCTTTATGAAGTTATCAGTGACCAGATTGCCTTGCCTGTAATGGTAGATGGTTGCTCCTTTGTATTTCTTGTTTGCCATGGCTGCCACAAGGAAACGGAATCGGCTGTTGTTCCTCAGTGCTTTGGCAAGGTCTCGGAACGTTTCAGCTTTGTTTATCATTTCCTCTCTAGCGTTACTAAGGGGGTACCCCTTGATTTCGATGGTGTTTCCTGATTTAGGTGAACGCAAGTAGTTGTCCAACACATCAAGGTAGGCATCACCACTTTCCACGAATGTGAAATCAAAGCACAGAGCATCATCTACGCCTCGAGCAAAAGCCTCTCTTTCCAACTCATTTTCATTTGAGACAATCTTTACCTTGGTCTTGTCGATGATCTTGAGACAGATATTGATGACATTGATTTCTTTCTCTTTATAGTCCATCCACTTTTTTAATTTGTCTGTACTGAATGGTGATCTCTCTCTCTCTTCAATATATTTTTTCAGTGAGCTCTCGGGTTCTGCACCTGCACGAATAGCTGGCAGTTTCTTTTTGAGTTTATTTTGGAGTTTTGATCTGTAACGATTACACAGATCTTTGAATTTTTTCATCTTTTCTTGGATATGAAGAAACTTCTCGACCGCTTTGTGTTCCGCACATTCGTTGGACTTCATGTCCAATATGCTAAAAAGGTTCAGAGCCTTTTGAATGTCATCCAGGAGCCCATCGCTGATCTCTCTCGTGAGCTTCACAGCTTCAGGGTCAAGACATATTAGCGGCATCAGCCAGACCTTCAATGGAACAGAATTCCTCTTTTTCTCTTCTTTCAGTAGCTTTGGAAGCTGCGCGAAGCTTGTCAGTGCCGCTTCAAATGTTTGAGGATTGTCATCAAGGAGAAAGTCACCATAGAATGTGCAGGAGAATTTCTTGGTAATGGTCTTTTCTGTGTCACACAGCTGGAATCGAGCATTCATTCCACCATCAAATGAGGGGATCTTCTTTAACACAGCCTGCATGCTAACCTGGGTGTCATGAACACTCTTAGCATCCAACATCTCACTGTCAAATACAAAGAAAGCATTTGCCCCATAAAGGATGCCAGTGACTATGTGCGTTGCCAAGCCCTGCTTGATTACAGATTGTTGTTGCCTATCCTTCTTTCCAAGACGAGTGATCACCAATTGTTTGAAGGTGGTGGTAGCTCTGTAACTGAGTGTCACTCTGCTCTGATTAAAATATTTCTTCTGATCTTTCAGGTATGTGCCGGATCCTCCAACTTCTACCAGTCCACCTAGGAAACTGGCCTTCAGGGAACCTTCAACGCTAAGCAGAGAAGACCTGTCCTCTATGGAATCAGATAACGAAATGTCAACCTTACTGGTGTGCTGCGGGCTTTCCTGAATGTGGTCTTGTAGGGTACTATCTTCCCACAATTTGACACCTACAGGGAAATGAAAACAGTCCGCAATCTGTTAAACCATGAAAGTCAAGATATCCAAACCATTCTGGTTTGCAGCTGTAGGACAAACAATTAATCTGTATTAGTGTAGAGTAAGAAGATATTCAACACCAAATACTGGAAAACTCAATTTACTTGATAGATTTAGAGACAGTTTCAAGGTAAGGCAAGGTAAGGTTAACTCAGACTATATTTTAACTGACTCACTTTTTACTTTAATGTATATCTACAAAAGTAATTATACGCCTCCTTGAGTAAATTTCCTCAAAGTAACAGTACTTTTACTTGAGTAAGAATTTACCTGGGATCAGTTTATCTCTGCAGGCATCATACAGCATCCCTAAGGTGAAAGGTCGACCCAGAGCAGCCACTTCTAGATTATCTGACGCCATGTCTCCAACCTAAAAGGAACGATCCAAAAACATACAGTAGGTCAAACCTAAACCCCAGAGATGTACGTCCTCCATTACACTCTCAAAAGAATCCTTATTTATACACTTACTGAGTGAAGAAATGGCGTTCACCGGAGTTCAGATTCAGACGTCTCAGACAGAAGTATACAATGTCAGCAACTGAACCTGACTAATGCCACACCGATTCCTCCAGATGTCTTGCCCGGCAAGTCGTATATATTCATAGCAATCACATGGTCATAACACATTTCCATACCTTACCCATATAAGGCGAATCTATAGTCTTCACCAATATGTGTAAAGATTCTATTGGTCACTTAACCTGGTCTTAGTCACATGATCTTACTTGACTACGGAACCATTGTGTAACACTAAGGACTTTATGATGTTACGTGTCAATCTGTGTCTTCCTTTGTCCGCTCTCTCAACTTGCTGACACAGATACCAGCTTTTGTTTTTTCCCTTATTTCCATCATTAGTTTCTTTTGCAAATAAATACATTCTTTATGCATCGAACTCAGTATCATGTCTGTCCTTGTGTTGTGGCTTTTGAGCCAGTTGCAAGCACTTCTGCTTTTTGCCGGCTAAGTGATGAGGTTTCTGTTTTTCTTTCCGGCTATGTGATTAGGTTTTTGTCAAAGATGTGAGAACATTAACTCTGACACATTCTCAGCTACTTGCTAAATATTTTTCCTGTGAGGCCTAACCACACTTTGCAGATTGTGGGGTTTTTTTCAAAATCTGATCTGTGTGACTTCCTGAAAATAAATGCAGGAGTAGGTGATTTAGGTGTTTTACCGTACATGTGCTTAGTTTACTGTATAAATGCACTGTTTTATTTCCTCTTTGTAAAATTTATATGCTGTACGCTTCATTCATGTTGGAGAGTGGGAACTCCACTGAGCTTTAACAGACTGATTTATTATTGTAAACAGACAAGTCCATTGTAAATGCTGCAGGTCTCAATCTGTGGGTGTCAATACTACATCCTAGGAGCTCTCATCACGTGCTGTTCCAGAGCCATTACAGGATAAAAATGTTTACAGTATGTGAACTGTCACATATAGGACAAATTTCACGTGTTGCTGCTCTTTTTTCATCAAACATGTTACACCTGGATGAAGTATCGTGCTTCTCCTATTATTGGGATTTGAATTCTGGTCCAAAGCAGATCTATTTAGCCTTGGGTCTATTCAGCCAGTCAGGTTCTCTTGCACAGCAACTGAAACATATTCCTTGATACTAGCATTAGGTACCAGTGTTAAGTGTTCAAAGCAATTCCATTAGTAAGTGACTATCTGTAGGTTTACCATGAAAACCCAAGAACAAGGCATCGCCATCCTTGAGAGGGTCAAAAGTGACATCAAATGTTCAACAGCTGCCTTATCAGCTTTTCATGCCAGAGCTATTTCCCACAAGCGCCCTCCAACCAGACAAAAAGAGATTCTCCCTCTTTGTGAACACAGACTGTAGATAGAAAAACATGGCTTTAGTAATGTAACATCCACAAGCCACTGAATTGAATTTATAGAGCTGGAGTTGTTCAGGTTTACCATCTTTGTTTACCATGTCACCATCTTTGACACGTATTACAGTCACATTTAAAGGAGCTTGGTTGTACAGAGGCCGATGCATGCCACTCTGCTTATATTGAATGATTACAGCAAGCAGAACCGGTTCCAATGTTCATATGGGCACCTTAGTGTTTAATGGTCCCATATTTTACACGTTTCTTATTTGTTGATCCATAAGAATATATATTTGTGGTTTTAAGAACCAAAAACCATCTCAATGTAGTTTTACGCCTCCTGTCTCAGGCTTCTCTCTGGAGCTCTATACAACAGGCAATGCACTGCACTACATGATTGCTTCATTCTTTTTGTTTCAATTGGGGAAATCAGTGAACACAACACTAGATATGAATTTCTGAAAGAAAGAAAAGGATCGACTGAATCCCTTCCTTGGTGGTGCGTTCATGGATGGGTCAACCTTCTACAGACTAAAAAGCCTAACAAGAAGAAAACAAGCAAATACAGACATTATGAAAAGGCAGCAATTATTTCTTTATTCACATTTCTTGGAGTTCAGTGTCTAGCCCAAGAGCGCCTTGGCACATGCACCGGAGGAGCTGGGGATCAAACCACCAACCCTGCAGTCAGTGGACAACCCGCTGTACCACCTGAGCCATAAATCACTGATAATAGTTTCTTGTTTTCTGGCAACAGCAGATGTTAGAAAGCAATTTAATCCACCAAAGAGAATAACAATAACTGTGACAAAAAAATGGGTAAATTGTTATTTACCACAAGGAACAACAAGAATCTCTTGCAGTACATACAGAAATAACTGGTTAGCATTATAAGGCCTGTTAGTGGGGTTGTCTCTCTGACATACGGCCAATGCAGAGGTGAGAGAGGACTCACCGCTCCATCTCTATTTGGACCCCACAGCACTTGGTGTAAAACAAGACTGCAATCCAAATAAGATTTGCCGTAAAACAAGGTGTGATATATGGGTTCAGGATGAGTTTGCTGATGCTTTTCCTCACCCAAGCCCTTAAAAGTGAAGGAAACGACTCCTCCAAAGAGGTTTTGGTTCATAAATCATTGTTTGTTTGAAACTTTTATGTATGAAACTTGACCCAGCCAATGGATAAGTGCAATGGAATAACTCATTCCCTGATTTGTGCCAAGCAAAAAGGACTCCAACTTTGCCTACAGGTCTCCTCAATCGAGAAGCAGTAAATAAAAGGGTAAAAAAAAACAATCTTCTTGACAAGAAAGGAGGAAAAAGGTGAAGAAGCAAAGTGAACAAAGACAGTAAACAAAATAATAAACAACCAAATAGCTGCTATCGCTAGTCGCTGAATGTGATTTTTAGCCTACAAATTACTTTAAATGTCCTAAAGCCGCAGAGAGAGCCGTGATTCAGCGCTGGCAGGGAACACTATCCATCATGCCACAGGAGGCAGTGGCGCAGCAGCAGTGGAGCAGGGAATAAGAAAAAAAGCTGTCTCAAGCTGTGAGAAAGGAGTCCACACAATAAGATGAGATGCCAGGCAGGACTCTGGAGGATTGCTCCTCCTTGACTCTGATAAAAAAATCTTTTGTATGCTGTTCGATCTTGTTCTGTCTCTCACTGCTGTGTGCCTCCCAAACCGTCCATCTATTGTCTGCTTGTGCTCTCATTCATACTCTATCACTGAATTTGTTTGCCTGCCTGTCTGCTTCTCTCCCGTCAGTGTGTGCTTCTGTGTCTGTTTTAGGCCTGCGCAGTAAACCGCAAATACATCATATTATTTATTTGTACATTAATAGATGTATTTATAATGGTTTATTTAATGAGTGTTTTTACTGGCAGCAGGAGCAACAAGTCCTCCAACCCCCTAGTACGACCCATAGGAGTGTCTCCTGAAATAGCGTCCCTACGGCGGCATGTGTACCGGACCTCTGTTGTCATGGTTACCATAATAAACACACGACTGTACCAAGAGTTACTGTACCAAACGTTACCATGGTTGACTACTTGGTTAGGTTTAGGCATTAAATCTGCTTGGTTATGGTTAGGAAAAGATCATGATTTGGGTTCAAATAAGTATTTCCTCTACATCAGACGATCTTTGTTGTCACGGTTACAATAAAAACAACAAACGGGCATGGGTAATAGAAACAATATAAACTACTGGTATCACATGGGAATCGAACACCAATCTCCTGAGTCATATCCCTGTGTTTTGTTGGCCCATCCGCCCATCGACCCCAACCTCCTCCTAACACGGACTTTGTCTCTCTTGATTCTACGTCAACGCACTTTTCCCTTTGCTGCTGTCATAATTACTACCACCACTAGATGTCACATAAAACGCAAAACGTAACTATGGGTCATAGATAAGCTGCTGCACAAACGGCCTATCTGCTCGTTTTTCACAGGAGGACAGCCTCTCTGTGGGGTATTGTTACCATGACAACTAAGGTCCATAGGGCTGCTTCTGGTAGGCTCGTATCCAAGGGTAGAGACTAGTAACCTATATGGTTGTTTAAATTGCAGGACTTGCTGTTCTCGTGGAGCCAGCATCTATAACAATTAAAAGAACTGCAGTTTAAGACATTAGCTTGAACAGCCAGCTGCTGTAGTTACTGGAAACAAACGCTTCAGGATGTGTTGTGGTGGCTGCTCATGTTAGCGAACGACACTAAAAGTTCCTATATAACAATATATTCCTTATATTCACCCTGAAAAATCTCCAGAGCAAACAAGCTAGAAGCACACCGATTAATATATTTGTCCCTATGAAGGATAGTGAACAATTTATAACCACTTTCTGCATAATTTAAAGCATGCTTGTTTTTTTGTTTTTATGTGATGTAGTTCATGTGGGAAACAAGCTGCTGAAAGTTGAATGTGCCTATATGCATATTAGTGTCTCATATCTGTCTCAAGTTGTTCTTCCTCTTCACGTAATCACTTGGCCCACATTTACACACGTAATCACCACTCTCAGGAACAGGGTGTATTACAGCGTTTTGCTCATTTACTACAGAAAGCCCCCTTACCCCCTCCCCAAAGGTAATAAAACTCATTTTTAATATTGAAAATAAATTGCACTCACTTTTGTGCCAGACATCAATTTATTAGAGTTTCTTGTCCCCATTTTTAATTTGCTTTGATGGAGGAAAGAAGATGAAATGAAGTTATTCACTGGAAAGCATCATTCTTCCTGGTGTGTGTGACACCCTATTCAAGGGGGGTGTGGGGGGGTGGGGGGTTGATAAAGGTGATAAAGGTAATTGCACAGACAAACTCCCATCCCCACCTACTTACAACCATCTAACATGCTGTCGTGACTGCAGAGCTCTGCTAATTTCATCACATGCTGCTGTGGTTAGATGGGAGAGGGATAAGGAAAGAGAGAGTACAATACAAAGTATATGCTGCTAGAGGCTTGATTGAGCTGTTGGGAGGTATTACCCAGCAAAGAT